TGAGCTTTCCTAAGACAGCAGGAACTGTACAGTTCATCCAGAGGGGGGGAGGAGAGGGCAGCCAATAGTCCTCTGGGCGATGGTAATGACTTTCTGGACTGCTTGCCTATCTGCTACTGTGCAGTTAGCAAACCACACACAAATGTAATGCTCTCTATGGAGCAGCAGTAAAAGGTCACCATAGAGTGTGTTTCAAAGAATTATTCCTAAATTTGTAAAAATTAAAATATATGACAATGTGGAGAAAAGAATCAAAGAAAAATATAAAGCCCAAAACTATTTAAAGTCAATTAATTTTTCAAAAGATAATTTCAAGCTTTCATGATTGTATCTATCTAGCTGAAATAGGACTTAACTGCCTTTGTGAAACCTTGGTGTTTGCAAATTCACCATCCCTCCCCCCAAAGTTTCATGAATTTATCTAAAACCAAAACAGAATTCAAAGGGGTATAATGCCAAGTTTTTTTTAAAAAAAAATGGGCCATCTTCATGTCTTCATGTTTAATTTTCTTATAAAATGTAATGAGACAAAAAATGAATTCCCCCTCCCAAAAAAAGAAAAAAACCTAGAACACCGTTGAGGTTTTCTAGTCCAACCCCCCGTTCAAGCAGACAAATAGCTGTCAAGTATCTTTTTGAAAGTCTCCAGTGATGGAACACCCACAACTTCTGAAGGCAAACTATCCCATTGATTGATTGTTCTCATTGTTAGGAAATTTCTCCTTAGTTCTAGATTGCTTCTCTCCTTATTTAGTTTCCATCGGTTGTTTCTTTTCTTGTCTTTTGGTGCTTTGGAAAATAGTTTGATATCTCCCCTTTTGTCTTTGTAAGAGTCCCTCATATATTGCTGCTATCATGTCTCTATATGTCTCTATGTCTCACTGCTATTATATCTGCTATCATGTCTGCTATAACTACTTTTAGTCAATCACATCTTTTCCAAGATATTCAGAGCACTGAATAGAAGCACACATTCTTATTTAGCCCAAGCTGAAACATAACATTTGTTAAAGTGATAAAACTGATTTAATCCAGAAATTGTGAATATTTTATTTTCAACCGGTAAAAATAATAACACTTACTGTTATTGTACATTAAAAAAAATACAAGAAAAAGAAACAATGGGGGATTTAGGGTAGAATTGGCTTTATCTGCTTCTTGTAATGTTTTAAATGTGTATGTATGCATATATGTATGTACACATGTATATAATTCTTCAATTCCTTTTCTTTAGAGTTATATAATATGTTCTTGTGCTATGAATAATTTTATGAATTAAGAACAATCCTTGTATTTCATGGTAAATATAATTAAAAAGAACACATTTAAGTTCTAAGCATATGACACAAAACTGGTTTACTTGTAATCAGCAGGTCTTTTAACAAAACTAGTAAGAAATGCAATACAATACAATACAATATAATACAGTACAGTACAGTACAGTATAATACAATACAATACAATACAATACAATACAATACAATACAATACAATACAATACAATACAATACAATACAACAAGCTACCTAATAGAGGTATAGTGGTAGGAGTTCCAAGAAATTTCCAAGTGTTTGCCATAGTGATACAAATTCATTCTATAAGATTATCTTGTTTGTTTGTTATAATTAAAAATTTAACCAACTTATTTTTAAATGCAGTACTAGTTGTTGCTAAAATAAAACAATGGTAAAACCATAAATATATATTATGTATTTATTATAAGCACATGTCTTAAGTTGAATCTGTTTTTCAGAACAGCTGATACCATCACTATTGATATATTATGAGAAAGGCAGACCAAGGAAACAGAACTGCCACCATCACTGCTTTCCTCCTTCTGGGTTTTGGAGAATTACATGGTCTTCAGATCATCTTATTCTTTGTATTCTTGGTTGTCTATATTTTGACTATTATGGCAAATTTTCTCACCATTTTTCTGATATTGACTGATCTGCATCTACACACACCCATGTATTTTTTTCTTGGGAATTTGTCCTCTTTGGAAATGATATACAGTTCTACTATCCTCCCCAAAATGTTGGCCAGTCTCTTGACAGGGGACAAATCCATCTCTCTCAAAGGATGCATGACACAACTATATTTCTTTGGTTTCTTGGCTAGCACAGAATGTTGTCTTCTCTCTGTAATGTCTTATGATCGCTTCCTAGCCATATGTAGACCTTTACATTATGCTACTTCAATGAAGGGTAGGCTTTGCATCCAATTAGCAGCTGGCTCTTGGATCAGTAGCATGGCATTAACTTCTATATACTCGGTCTTGATGTCAACACTTTGGTTTTGTGGTTCTAATGAAATAGATCACTTCTTTTGTGAATCGCTGCCATTAATAAGACTCTCATGCAGTGACACAACCCTTGTGAAATATGTCAGTGTATTTATGACTTTTATATTAACTTTTCTCCCTTTTATTTTGACTGTAATATCTTACGCATGTATCATTAATACCATTTCGAGAATCCCATCCACTACTGGAAGGCAAAAGGCATTTTCCACCTGTTCTTCTCACTTGATTGTTGTCTCTCTTTTTTATGGGACACTATTCATCACATATCTGATGCCAGAAAGCAAAGGAATGAAAAACCCCAGTAAAATATTTTCGGTTTTGTACACTGTCCTTCCACCTTTTTTCAACCCTCTGATATATAGTCTAAGAAATAGAGATGTCAAAGAATCTTTGAATAAACTATTACACCAATTTTGGAAAGATGTATTTTGACTTGAGGATAAAACATATTAAAAACTGTCATCCTCCACATGGTCAGGTATAAAAGTCCCATTCAACAGAATAATTTATGCAATAATACCATATATGCTTAATTGGTAAATTCCACTAAATTGAATAGTGCTTATTGTCATACAAATAGTGCAGACTTACAGAGTAAAAGATACTTTACAAAAATTAAAAAATTAAAAGCAACAAAAGTAAGACAAAATAAGTTTTGAAGAAACATGATTCTTTCCAATCTGATTTGGAGGAAGGAGAAGGAGAAGGAGAAAGACAAGAAAGATTTTAGGTATCAGGTTAATCCACTTTGGATTCTCATAAGCATTCTTATGTTGCTGTTGCTATTGCATAAAGATGCAATACAAATTTCCAACCTCAAAATGTTTATGAACAGTGAAGAAAGTGACAATATCACAATAATAAGTCTTTGTGTAGAAACCAGACAAGAGGTATGTAGGGAAATGTAGCAACTGTTACTAAAATGCCTCTTTACCAGGAAACACTCTAACCTCTATTTCTGTAAATAAATATTATGCTTGGGCTTTTGCATTGATTTGTAGCATGTCAGTATATGCATATATTACAAAGTTGAACACAAAGGACAGAGGACAGTGTTTGTGTGTCCACTTTAAATATCATTAAAGATGTCTCCAATTTGGTTATATATTTGGTACACTTCATTAAGAAAGTTGGCAAGTGAGAAGGCAGAATTTAAAGGCTTACTTCCATAATTTTATTTTTCTTCCAGAAATAGAAACAAGTGAGAGATTAGCTTCAAAGAGAAACTGGAAGTTACTTTAGATCCAATTGATTACTCTTGTGAAATAATTTTAAATGGCACAGATTAGTTAGCTGCAGGGAATGGAAAACTACTGAAACTACTAGCTGTATCTTGGATCCTGTTAGGAAATATTCCACTTGTACAGTTCACAATATATTGAACATAAATGGAAGAAACTCAAAAGGTTATGTGACAGTAGAGTGATTCTTGAGATTTTTTTAACAGAGTTAAACCTGCATCAATGACACTGTTTGTTCCTGTGTATAAATACCGGTTATTTTGAATGTTTTCAGTTTTCCACTAACACTAGTGGTTTTAGTACATACTATTTGTGTTTGAAGCATTTTGAATTATAATAAAGCCTATTGATTTGCTTTCCTATAGTCTCTTGGCTCAATTGATTTCCATTAAGTGATGATCCTTATATTCTAAGTATTTTTTAAAGGGAATTGGAATTCCTAGACAGTCCAAATAAAATGAACCAACTTTTTTATTTTTATTTAGAAGATTTGCCAAGATATCCAATTTCAAATAATACATATTATTAGACGAACAAATGAATTTATCCCCAACGTTCTCTTCTTCAGAGATTCCATTGAATCATGATATATTCATATACTTTTCAATCTAAATTTAGATTCACTCTAAATCCATTCACATTACTTCATATAACAATTCAAAACTAATTGCAAACATGTATTTCACAATTTGTCAAAGTCCCTTTGAGGTTGTAGTTATTTTCCTGAAGCTTAAATAATCACCAAAGGGAGACTTAAAGAAGACAAGAGATGTGAAAGGAACAGAATGGGAGAGGAATAGGTTTGCTAAGTATTTTCAAGATTGGTGAAGAAAGATATATATGCATGGAGAGATGTATCAGAGTGAAAGCACATGGAGTCATTTCAAACTTGATTTTTCCCCCCTCTATTTATAACTGAGGTATGCAGCTCTCCAATTTTCTGCACAATTTCAATTTTCAGCTATATGCATGCTATAATCAATCTACTCTTCAAGATATTAGGAGGACTGGAAAATTAATTAATTCATGATGAAACATCTTTCATCTGTCTCTAAGTTAGTCAACCAATAATTTTCCAGAACATGAACAAGGAGATGAAATTTCAGTAGCATTTTATGAATTATTTTATGCAGTTCCAAAGAGTATCTGATATCATTTTAATTTTAATCCACAATTTTCTTATAATCAAGTGTATTATAGCAATATAATATTAAGAAGTCTTATGCAATTTGCCAAACAGGATTATTTATTTAATTAATTGTTTGTTTGTTTGTTTGTTTGTTTGCTTGTAGCTATCAATGGAAAGAGACATTTTTGGTGACACCGTGAACTTAGCTTCTTAACTGCTTGTAGAATGAAATTATGATGGATATTTCTGAATTTCAAATTCCACAATTTTTACAAGTGTGTAAATTGATTTTTTCTGGATCAGTATACATGAAATGTGAAATGCAATGCTGGGCAATCAGACTGTCATCTCTCATGTCATCCTTCTGGGATTTGGGGAGCTTCATGATATGCAGATGTTCCTTTTCCAGTCCTTTTTACTTATCTACATTTTTACCATACTGGCCAATTTCCTCACTGTTCTTTTAATTCTGGTGGATCAGCATTTGCATACACCCATGTATTTCTTCCTAGGAAATTTGTCCTGTTTGGAAATGATGTACAGCTCTGCAATCTTGCCTAAGATGCTGGATAGTTTTTTAACAGGGGAAAAATCCATCTCTTTCAAAGGATGTATTACACAGCTCTATTTCTTTGCTTTCCTATGTAGTACAGAATGCTATCTCCTCTCTGTGATGTCTTATGATCGATTTTTAGCCATATGTAAACCTCTGCATTATGCTACTGCAATGAGAATTACACGCTGCATCCAGCTAGCTGCTGTGTCTTGGATCAATGGCATGGTTTTTACAATGGTATATTTGATCTTCATGTTACAGCTTTGGTTCTGTGGCCCCAATGAAATTGACCATTTCTTTTGTGAAACCTTGCCATTAATAAAGCTGTCTTGCAGCGATACCACTTTTATGAAACATGCTGTTGCATTCTTGGCTTACACATTCACTTTTCCTCCATTTACATTGACCTTTATGTCTTACATATTTATACTGAGAACCATTTTGAGAATTCCATCTAGGACTGGGAAACAAAAAGCTTTTTCCACCTGTTCCTCTCATCTGATTGTTGTCTCATTTTTTTATGGGGCAATAGCAGTTGTATACTTGATGCCAGAAACTGAAGGAAAGAAAAATCCTAGTAAATTCTTTTCTCTGTTATACACAGTCCTTCCCTCATTATTCAACCCTTTAATATACACCTTGAGAAATAAGGATGTCAAAGAAGCCCTGAAGAAGCTATTATGTAGATTTTGGAAGATAATATATTTTAATCTTCATTTAAAAGAGTAATGAACAATCTTATACTTGATGGGACCTATCTCTAAAAATGGGGGCTAGGAATGCAGCTCAATTAAAACCAATTAAGGGAGGATAAATGCTCCTTAGAAAATTTCTGTGATAAATTTCATCATTGTAAAAGTGGATAGTTCCAGTTCCTGGAATCATCAAGAATAATCTTATATTATACTTTGATTATTATAATCAAAATATAGTATAATAATTCTACTTGCTTTATATTGACTAAAAGCACTTTGATTGTTTTTTTCCCTCATGTTAATTCAATACTCTGTTAAAATTAATTTTAAAATCTTATTGTATGACATATTTGGATGGAAGATGACAATTATAGCTTGGATTAATTGATAGACTGAAATACTGAATTTTTAAGATTTTCTATTTTAAAGTATAAATATAAAGTATATAATGATAAGATATAGATATTAACTGCTAGCATATCTGTGATAGCACTTACAATATCTAATGGCAACCCAATTTGTTTTTCAGCATTTTCAGCTTCAGAGAAACTTAATTACAAACACCTAAGTGCTTCAAATAATTATTAAATTTGATACAAAAACACCAATACTTCTTGTTCAGTTTTGTAGGTCATCAATAAATTTGATATGCAAACTTTAATTCTTCAGTGGAATAAAAATACATATTTTTATTTTCTCTACATAATAAAAAGTGCTACTATCAAGATAAAAATGATCAGTTGGGCTTAGATTATGATTTGCTCAACAAAATATTTTTTGGATTTATTGAATTCTACTGTATACAAAACACTTGAATAAATCATTAGACTACGGTATTTTGAGAGTATTTAAATGTATCCTATATATGAGATGAATACTTCATTTAAATACTGTCTCATATTATTTTATTTGGAAAAGAGGTTATTACATATCTTCATGCATTTAGCAAAAAAGATGATTGTTCAATTTTTAGAAGTAAAATGCTTATTCTTCTGTGTTGGAAAGATAAATATATGGACTCAATAACTCATTTCTGTACAAAATCGATAGTATTGCCTATTAACATGGATGATATTATATCAGAATATGTTTAGTGTTCATTGGAATGTGAAAATGCAATTTGTATGAATACATCCTTATACATATACATATATGTATAGATAGATAGATACAGATATAGATATAGATACACATACACATACACATACACTACACATACACATATACAGAATCTTAGTGGGGAATCTTACTGTAAAATTCCTTTCATGCTCCTATAACAAAACAATTCTCTGTGATCTCTTCAGGAAGAACTTTTCTTGTTAAGGAAATCTCTCTCTCTCTCTCTCTCTCACACACACACACACACACACACACACAGAGAGAGAGAGAGAGAGAGAGAGAGAGAGAGAGAGAGAAACACAACACACATATTTAAAAAATCTTTCTACATTTGTCCATTGGAAATTTTTATTCATTGTTTATATCAAGATTTATACTTTTTATTTTAAAATGCATCAGAAAACAAAATAATGATTATATAATTATTTTTAAGAAACATAGAGATACTGTATTTCAGTCCTAATGATCTGTCATTAAGATCTGAATTGAATAATAAGTAATTAAAGCTGAGATGTGATGTTTCAATACCACATCATTACATATTCAAAACAACAAGAATAACCAGTGACTGGTTGTCTTGCTAGTAGATGATGCTGGGTGAAACATGGACTAATCACTAGGAATTCTTCAATCTTTTGCCTGAAATTACTCCATATTAAATTGTGTAAGAGCAGTCATCCTGTCCAGTTTGGCTGTAGGACACACAATTTATTTCAATAGATTTTCCTCCTCATATAACGGTTGAGGGAAAACACTTTGATATAGTGTGAGGAAAGCCCTATGAAAGGTCCAGAAGGAATATTAAAATACAGACAGATCAAATTAATAACAAAGATGCATATTTTCAAGGCCATGATTTTCAATTGAAAAAGATGCTTATGAAAGCTGGATCATTAGAAACACTGAATGAATAAAAATGATCCTTTTGAATTGTGATGCTCAGAATATTGTTCAGAATATCTTGTCCTCTGTAAAAAAAAGTGCTAGAATATAGATTTGTTTCCCTTCACAATGCATAGAGAATAGACACAAAGAAAGAAAATACTGAAATAGTGCCACAGAAATGTATCTTATCTTATGTCTTATCTTATTAAGATGTATAAAAATAATTGGGGAAATGATTAAGTGAAAAAATATGGATGAGAAAAAATGCATACAAGATAATATTTCTTGCAAAATAAAAAAGAGAATATGGTCATATATTGTAAATAGGATTGGATCCTAAAATATGAGAAACTATTATATTGGAGTTTATTTATAAACTTAATAAATGTGCCATATCATAAAGTTAAAAAAATAATGTTTATGGAGTGTTCACAGGTTGTTGTTTTTTTGTAGGAATGTACTTTTTTTTAATGCAGACAATGCTGTGCTTTTGCCTGAAAACCAAACAATTTGCAATAATTGTTGAGCAGGTTATATGATTCAACAAGAGCTAGGAATTTGAAAATTGAAAATTAACAAGCCAATATAGAAACCAAATAATTATGCTTGACAGGAATACAATAAGTCAATTATTTCAAGTCATATTCAAATGTTGAAATCTTTTATAGTGTCCAGGTCAGAGGAAGTGACTGTACTGCTCTATGCTACGCTGCTCAGATCACCCTTGAAATATTGTTCTGGTTGTCACAATACAGAGAAGGGGCTTAGAGCCTGAATCCCATTAAAAATGGTTACAGGATCATGACATCAGCTAGAATACAGAATAACTGAAAGAAATATGAGGGCAATTCAGAAATAAATTTCCGTTTGGTTATCAATGATAGACACTCACAGATACAGAGCTTTTATTATACACATTAGAAAACTATAACATCACATTACTTTTGACATAATCACCGTTCAAATTGAGGCATTTGTCATAACATCTTACAAGGTTTGAAATTCCTTAGTAGTAGGTCACTTGGCGCCAAATCTGGGCTATGGGATGTGTGATCAAAAACATCCCAACGGACTTGCTTCAAAAGTTCTTGGGTGTGTCTAGCAGTATGTGGATGAGCAATATCATGAACCAACACCACACCAGAAGTGGTGCCATAGAAAATCCCACCAAATGTGAAGATGCTAAAGGAGTACTTGGCTAGTGAAGTTCATGGAATGTGGTTTGACTATCAATTCAGAAGTCTACTGTGAAACATTATGAAAACTCAGACGAGCCATCCGTAACAAGTGTCAGGGCATGCTGACTTCCAGTGTGTTGTTGGTTCATGATAATGCTCACCCGCACATTGCTAGACGCACCCAAGAACTTTTGAAGCAGTTCTGTTGGGATGTTGTTGTTTTTTTGAAACACATTTTATTGGTTTTTTAATTCTTAGAAAAAAGTACTCAGGACACACCATGGTGTTTGGGTAATCAAACATTCAACAATAAAACCATATATAAGTAACTCAACTCAATACAATCAATGTCCCCTCTCTATTTCCCTCAAATAGCATAGTACATTTAAAATGTTCCATTTCTAATTTGAATTTCTATAACTGCTAAACCTGTTTTAAAACTTTTGTAAGTTTACAATTACCATAATCAAATTTGACTTTAAATCAAGAAATTATCAATTCAGGTATCCCTTTCAGATATATTCTAATTCTTAATCCCTCATATCCCTCATTTTATCACAAGTCTCATTTACATTTCTTCTTCCACTACACAATACATATCATAATTAAGATAAAAAATTAATCTACCCTATATATATATAATCCATCAATCAATCAGTCTCTTTAAAATAACAAAATAATGTTAAGCCTTAACTCATTTCAATTCATTAAACACAATTCAAATTTCATCCAATTGATTATCATGCCTTATCACATCTATGTTATCATACAAAATCATCATCATCTTACTAATTTAAAACACTCAATTAATTATTGAAATAATCCAAATCTAAAAAGCCAGCATTTTTTCCATTCCAATACACAATGATTTTCATGAAAATAAGCCTATTATTCCAAAAAGTACATTCTTAATCTATTTGAAACATGTATTCTAATAATCACCCTCCTATTTTTTTCTTACTTCTAACTCTGAATCTTAATCCTTAAAACTGTCCATATATTAACATTGCCTTTTCATCCATTACACAATTTTAAATTTCTCTTTTCAGTCTTATTCTGGCTTTTTTCTGTGCCAGGCAGGTTTCCATAACCAGGCTTCCCTTTCTGCCAGTAGATCTCTCTTTGCTTGTAGTGCCCTTTGAAATGATAGGAATCCCATCCTCTGCATTAGGCATCTATTTCTCTCATCCTCAAAGCTTCGTTGCTTTAAAGTTTCCAGTCTCAATCTTTGATTCTTCTGATCCTTAAAGTTGTAGATGGAGTTTTTATAAGATAAAGTAAGTTCCTCTTTTATCTAAGTTGTTTCCTCTTCTAATATATTTTAATTTATAGAATAGTTAGATGTAGTCTGTAAATCAGTTTGAAGGTTTGACATGAGACTTCTAGATCTTAACTCTGTAGTAAACTCTTTCATTGTAGCACATATTTCTGCAGTAGCTTCAGAAATCTTTTCCAATATAAGTTTGCAGTTTAATTGTAGATGAGCTTTCTCCATTTTGATAGTAATTAAAGAGAGTCTCTTTTTTTTCTTGTGGAGGCTGTATTTAATAAAAGTTAAGCAGTATCCACCCCCACAATTCTCACAGCTGCATCAGCTTATCTTTTCTCTTCAAAAATAATTTGAAGTTCAAGTCTATTCCATCTCCAAAGAATAACTAGAAGCTGCAGTATTAGGTTTTTGCCACTAGATGTCTTCAGTAAATTAAAAAAAATCTTTTCCAGACACCATTTTCCCCTTTTTCTTTCTTTTAAAATATAATATGAAAAAAGAAATAATATTCCAGCATAAAATTATAGTACAGCTCTTAGAAAAAAAAAACAATTTTTTTTTCTGTACCCTAAAGCATGTAAA